CGGAAAAGAGAGTGTTTAAAAGAGGTAGATACTACGAAGCATGGTGTATATATCGAGATCAGTAGGAAACGAAGACGACGTTGAAAGAATTTCATTTTGCATTAAAAATCATTCTGGCAACGACTATTGGAATAGGTCGAAAAATATTATGGTTGTAATGCGTCATTTCACCTACTCTGCGATCAGCCAATGACAAATAATGGTGAAAACTCAGCCCCACGTTTCTTTCCCATTCTAATGTAAAGAAACGACGACTGTGATTGCGTCGGTGAAGAAAAGGGTTCTCCCTCACTGCCAGTCAAATCGAGGTTTCTCCCGCTTCGTGATCTACAGGCAACCGACTACTCGTTAGAAATTTTCGACCCACTGATTAGTTGCAAAGTAGTTAACTCATTACTATTATTTCTGGCTTGTTCGGTAATCAGCAAATCCCGTTTTGCAACCAGAAAAATGTAAAATTAAAACTGTTTCTCCCAAACCTGACTGCCTGTCGCATGTTGACCATTATATAATTAAAGAAGTTGAAGGATTATAGTATGGCAATCGTCTGCGTGGAGAAAGGAGAGGGGACAGTTGCTATGCTGATAACGGAATATGATACAAAATCTGTAGCACATCAGGAATAATGACGTGTACACAGAACTCAGAAGCAATACCAGCTCCGAGAAGCAACCTGCCAAATCCGCTAGAGGCTTTAAGGAATTTGCAGCAAAAGAAGGTCGTCAACACAAAATACGTGCAGATGGTCTTGACACTACTGACTCATGTGCAACTCCACGGCCAAATAGATGAGTGAAACTCAATAAGCCTGGTAACCCGTTTTGTGTCGTCATACTAGCTATGGGAACAGTAGCATACCAGATTGCCAAAGAGCTTCATTTGTTGCTGAAACCTTTTGCGAAGATGATGGTTAACGTATCTAAGGACAGAAAGGAATTTCCATTCAGCTAAAAGAACATGATCATCAAGATTGCTTCATGGAATCCCTGGACATCACCGGTATTTTCAAAAAATGTCAATATTAACACGCTGAAAAATATTCTCCCGGGCATCTGGAACAATACGGAGGATTAATGGAAGACATTACAGAGCGTGTTGAAAAATTACAATTGTTATGGAATTAATGTTAATCTTCAGTCTTGTGAAGAACGGCATTACTTTAAAATTCGTGAACATTGCTTACCACATATATATGACATTCCACTGGGTTCCTAAGCGATCTTAACAACGATTACATGGAAGTTAAGGACTCCATTGAACGCCTACCGAAATTCTGACCGCTGTTCCATAGCCGATTCGTTGATGATATTTTCCTATTATTCCAACGAAATAAGAACGAACTGAAAACGTTGGAAAGCTTCGTGAATTACATGAATGGACAAGGGACCAATGGCCTGCGATTGAACATCTATACCAACATTTCTAAACAAAGTCTACCTAAAGAGAATACTTGATGAAGAACTATTGCACTCCAGTTTTAAACTAAAACTACCTGTCGGTGTAAACCACCCGTAATTTTACCCTTCGTACACTTAGGAATTTCAACGTATCAAGCGGTACTTTAATGACATGGTGTTCGAAGCATACTATAAGACATTGAGCAGCATTTTATTCAAAAATCATATGCCCATTAACCCGAAAGAAGCGTAAACGTTGCATTCGGTGTCCCTGTGGAGACTGCGACAAGAAATACAAAGGAAAGACCTGCTGGAAGATGAACATTTCGATCAAACAGCACCTACTGTAGTCCGCTTTTGTCCGTCTTGAACAGGCTGACGGTTCCGGCATTGCCAAGCATGCTATGTCTGAAGGGCACTCTCAACCGGAACAATGCGTCTGTTACTGACAGAGACCAGGCTACTGATAAATGCGCTCCTAAATATATTGACTAGGAAACATCGAATGTGCAACAAATACACTTCTTCCGTGATCATTCGTGAAGGCTGAAATGCAGTCCCGAATCTGGTACGCAGATCGGGTTAACATAGAAAATCCGATTGCATTTTAATGCAAGATTTACATTGCGTTGGTTGATTAACATGCTAAACAAGCTGTAGCAATTGATTTGCTTTGAAGTATGTGTCATCTGGGAAAAATGGCGATACTCATCTGTTGGATATGACTGTCTTCAAATATCTATTTGTGTACATCCCACCCCTAGTGATGCAACGGTCTGTGCAGCGAAACACGTTGAAAAATGAATCTTTTACCGCCTGAGTCGTTCGGTGCCCTGAACCATGAATCGTTCACAGCATTATTTTTATATATAACACTTTTCTGTATGTGAATAATAAGTAGTGCAAAAGATGTTACACCTGGTGCTGATCGCCACGCTGGCAGTCAGCTATAAGGAATGTCAACATAAGTTGTATGTTTAAATGATGCCAGCATCAAACAACTTGACAGTACCAATCGTCCATTCTGGAATGACTCCATCAGAATCTTATGCTGTTACTGTTGATTGTAAGTCAATGACCTGCTGTTCGGCTGGTAGGGCCGCTGCAGCTTGAGATAAATTTCTTGCTGAAGCAAATAGGCAATTAAAAGAACTGTTTTTGTGATTGGCCTGGTACCTACAGAGTTAGCAGCTTACCTCTTGTCACCATGCTACTGACCACAATTGTGTTTGGTGTCGAGTTTTGCATTCATCTGTGTTGCTTCATATGCATTCATATAGTGCAAGTAATATCGTACATATATAGTATTCTATCGAATAAGCATGATAAGCCGTTCATATGCTCGAGTATGTCAAAAAACGCATGACTTATCCAAAGCAACACTTCACGGAGCACTCCACCGCCCATTGTTCCAAGTTGGCTAGAGAATCCATTGAAGCAGGTCATGGTTTCTTGGCATTTGAGGACCTGCTGTACGAGACGTATCTCGTATCATTTCGTTCGATAGAGCTACCTAATACGTGTCTGTGAAACTGCCCTGACTGCGCGCATAACACCACTAGGGTGCATAACGGGCGTGTAATTTTCCTAGTATGAGCATCTCGACGCGTGCTCAGATTATCGAAATATTACAATATTCAGCTTTCGGAGAAATGTTTAAGTAAAAGTGGGGGATAAAGGAACCTTGCCGATCAGCCAAGTCAAAAATCCAACAAAGGTAATGCAGCTTTTGCTCATGCCGAAGCATTTCTAATCCATGCGCAGAGAAATCGAGAGAATGGAAAAACAGTTGGATACATTCGCATGCCTGCAGGTATGATTACTGGCAACACAAAATAGGAGGCAACGATTATATGTATGACATACAAATCTGGATGACTAGCAGCGTTAAATGTAAGCTATCCCGAATTGTCATGGCAAACTCGGAACTGCAATGGCGACTCGACAGGAGTCCAGAGTTCAATCATGTACTGAGCCAGTGTATTTTTAGATTGAAAAATCAGAAATTTGATAGTTTGAGCAAACTTCGCGAAACCTTTAGAAAGGAAAACGAACAAAGTACTATTTACTCAATCGACTGGCCGAAAACCCAAAGAGAGGGTGAAAAATTTTCTGGGAAAAATATATCGACGTACTCTACTCCAGAATCGGGTATTATTCTGCAAAAGCTGAGAAGCTGGCATAAAACTGAGTACAATTGGAGAAAATGTCTGACGTTACTGCCTGTGTAATGTAGAGGGATAGGAGGTCAACGTAACTGACTAAATGGCACCATTTTCTGTCGTTCCTTTCTATATTCCACAGGCTATCTCTTCTTCATCGAAAGTTAGGTTCCTAATCTTATGATAACTGTGATTTGCCATAAAATAAAACAAAACATGACTAACTGATCAATCAGCTTTGGAAAACGTGTATTTGGAATTGTGTGTGCAAACTTTTAAAGACCTATACCTATATTGTACAATTATTAAGTACAAATAAATTTACAACGGTTTGATAAACCATGCTGATCGCCTATAGTACTGTATGTTTAAATTGAGATTGGGTCTCAGCTGTAACGTTATCAATTAAGTCTTATGCTTAAGGGAATATAACGTGTTTGCTAGTGTAATGGAAAAGTCACCGGAGAGTGCATTCTAACATTTCATTTCTTCTGAACTCATAATTCGTTATCGAGTTCTTTTGTAGTCTCACCTGATTTGCTCCGCCACTATCGCTCAAATCTTCAGCGTTTCTCCTGTCTACTCATGAAAACGACGTAGAAAATGCTATTTTCGGTACGGCGATTCACTTTCCAAATTTTTCGTTTGCTGCTGCATAGATTTGTCTTTTAAAGATATCGAAATAGATACTTTACTAAGTTCATCGGCAGTTATTCCAGGAACTGACATTTCGCATGTATTTCATGAAGAATGCAACATTTTGGAATTACCTAACGAAAGGCAATCGTCGTCTGTAACTCATCAAGACTTCGGATGATATACTGTGAAGGAAAGTTATTTGTGTTCCTCGGAAAACGTCTCCCACTGACCTTTGTTTTCTTTGCCGGACGATCCCTTCCCCTACTGTGTGCATCCACTATTCCTGATGAGCAGACTAAGGTGGCTTATTTATGTATTGGTATTCGTCAAATAGTCTGTCTGAATGAAAATATGTATATTTCGTTACATAGCCAATGAGTTTTACATATATTTAATGTTTTTCGTTTTGTGACGTTTCATCGTACATGCAAGCTTTATAGGCTTAATCCGGCGTGTAAACATTGACCAGCATGCTTCGTGGTCTGGGAAATTTATCACTTAGAAGGTACGTACTTCACTGTTTATATTTTGTGTTTACTGTTGAAGTTCATCCACGCATCTGACTCTACAAATCACGATGGGTGCTGGATATTAACCATAA